AACACACCAATCGATTTCTCAGTTAAATAATAGCTTTAAAAAATCCCTAGTTAAGACCTCGCTGGATTAAGCAGGTAGAAGATCGGTTTAACAACATTACTGTTAGTTGTTTTTATTGTAACGCTCTTGATTATATTTCAGTTTTGGATTCCTACCTAAAACCTCTGAAGTGAGGTAGTTTCATAACTCCTTAAATAAGATACAATAATAAAATAATGAAATGAAATAAACAAATATAAATAGAAAGAACTGAACAACATCCCCCCTCAAAAATATAAAATGCATAAATAAGTTCATAGGTAGTATTCATTTTTTTTTACTACCGATTCTGTGGGCGTGGCTTGGTGGGCATGGCTTGGTGGGCGTGGCAGGAGAAGGATATTGTAAAATTCCCATTTCCACCCCACTCCAGGGGAAGGATATACTGCAAATTCCCCATTCCCTCCCCACCCCACTAACCTGCTTTCCAGCTCCGTTCTCCTGTGCAGGGCAACAAAAGAAGACCCAGCCGATCAGCTGGCACTCTGATCAGCTAGGACTTGGGAGCAGGGGTGGGATTCAAATTTTTTAACAACCGGTTCTGTGGGCGTGACTTAGTTGGTGGGCGTGGCTTGGTGGTGGACATGGCTTGGTGGTCATATTATTGGCTGGGCGTGGCCAACTCAATATCACTCACATCGAGGCACGCATCTCCTTGCCTGGCCTCTCATGACTGTGGGGATGCTGCAACAGTCGTAAGAGTGAAAAATGGTCATAAGTCACTTTTTTCAGTGCCATTGTAATTTTGAATCGTCACTCCACACAAGCAAAGTACTAGCAAAGGAGGGGGAAAAAAACTCCAGAGACGTTCCTGAGACAGGAAATCTAGTCTTCCCAATAATGTAATAAGGGTTAACAGAGAGGCAGTTTCTGTGAGCAACACCAGAATGTTTCCTTCCTGCCTTCCTTACAGGATTAGGCCAGGAATTTCTTCTAACAACCGGTTCTCCAAACTGCTTAGAATGTTAACAACCAGTTCTAGTGAATAGGTGCGAACCGGTAGAATCCCACCCCTGCTTGGGAGGCAGTGAATAGATTGGAATGGGGTCAACCAGAGGTGGTATTTACCAGTTCTCCGAACTACTCAAAATTTCCACTACCAGTTCTCCAGAACCTGTCAGAACTGGCTGAATACCACCTCTGAATTAAGGGTACCATGAGAGCATACAGTTGGAAAGATCTCACCTCAGCTGAATCCTGAGAAGTTATTAACACCAACTGTCTTGAATATTTCATAAAATAAGTAAGCACAATTTATGGGCCCAGATATAGACAACTCCCTAAGCCACTTTCTATATCTTTTGTCTTATTAGCCACCAGTTACAGATGAACAGACTCCACAGTCTGGGTCTGAACCTGGGCAGGAGGAACATCATGACGACGGTGAAAGACGCAGAAATCACCACGAAAAGAACAGACGCCATCATCAACGCTCCCATCCCCACCACCACAAACTTCATGGACATAAGCATGAAGACCAGGAGTCATACTATCCTCACCCCTCAGCTAACGTCACTAAGATACTACCAGGCCAAAACAAAATATTGGGGCAGGTGGTCATTTATCCTCCTTCAAGCAAGCATATTTCGCTACATTCCTTACCAGAAGTCCAGGAGCCCAAACCAACCTCTAAATCCGGGTTGACTTCTCAGTTTGAAGCCAGTCCTCAGTCAGTACAGTCAACCAGGCCAGCAATTCCTCCCTTCCCCAGTGGGTTTTCAGAATCACCATCATGCCCGGGAGACCTTGCGATAGAGATCAATGGCCTTCAACTGCCTTCACCCTCATAGGCCAAAACTTCACTAAAAACTGAATGGTGAAATCTAGCAGGATCTCATCAAATCTTCCTGTCAGCTTTGGAAGCCATATTAGCACCAGAAGCTTCCAAAGCTGCCACATTCTTGCGCTTGGGGAAATTGGGAGGGGGGGATTTCATGGAGCGTATGTAGTTAGACATAATAGCATTCTTCTTTACAGTCAAGGTCATGTTATTCCTGCACCTGGGTGAAGAGTGTCTAAGGGATGTCTCAAGTTGGGACGGATGGTGATTGGGGCATGTGATGGAATGATGGGTGCAAGGGATGGACTTGTATTTTTTTAATTATTGAAGGAAAACCTGGAACTCTCAGATTCAGGTTTTCCCAGATGTGCCAGTTTGACTTTTCCAATAAAAAGAAACTTTGAGGAAATGCCTGTCTCAGAGTTTTTGATTGGAGTCTGGTTTTGCTGGAACGCTGATATTTCCCATGCAAGCAGAAGCCTCTTGGTTTCCATTTTTGCTAGCTTAATGTTTTGTAGCATACTAAAAAGAAGTTTTAATTAACTTGAAAATAACAAAGGAATTTTGATTTAATTGCATAGGTCTTGCCACTAACTAACCTCCCTCCCACTCCTTCCCTTATTTTATACTAGTTATTATTCCCAAATATTTATGTCTCATTCCAGGAGATTGTGAATTCTAGTTCTACCTAGAATTGAAAACCAACTGGGTGATTTTGAGTCAGTCATTCTCATTCTCTCCCTCTCCCTCCCTCCCTCTTCCTCTCTCTTTCTCTCTCTCTCTCTCTCTCTTTCTCTCTCTCTCTCCCCCCAAACCTCCTCACAAGATTGTTGTTGTGGGGAAAAATAGGAAGAGGAAAATGGATAGGTTCATCGCCTTGAGTTATTTGTGAAAAATAATAAAGGTGGGAAACAAATAAAAAGATTATTTTTCTTTGCCCTACTTTGTGTCTTGGCGATTTCAAACTCAAGTGAATATATGAGCTACATTATATGAAATGGGTCAATCAATGGGCAACATCTGTGCACATGCAAAAATGAAACACATTTTAAAAATGCATTGAAACTGAAATGTTTATCAAGGAAACTCGATGTAAATTATGTTTCTACAGCCAACGTCATTTCTCTTTCACTGGTGATCATGTAACATAGCAATAAACAGTTGCACATGACTACTCTAGATCTATACATGAGGAGAATTGCAGATTGTTGTTAGAATTTTCATGAATAAAATACTGTCTGGATTCCATTATTGTGGGAAGTGGTCGATTATTTAATCATGCGATACTGAATAAGCAATTGGTTGCATGTACACAGCAGGATACAGGGTACTAGGGACGCGGTGGCTCAGTGATTAAGACGTTGAGCTTGTCGATCAGAAAGGTCAGCAGTTCGGCGGTTCAAATCCCTAGCGCCGCATAACGGAGTGAGCTCCTGTTACTTTTTCCCAGCTTCTGCCAACCTAGCAGTTCGAAAGCATGTAAAAATGCAAGTAGAAAAATAGGGACCCCTTTGGTGGGAAAGTAACAGCGTTCTGTGTGCCTTCAGCATTTAGTCATGCCGGCCACATGACCACGGAGACATCTTCGGACAGCGCTGGCTCTTCGGCTTTGTAACGGAGATGAGCACCACCCCCTAGAGCCAGAAATGACTAGCACGTATGTGCAAGGTGAACCTTTACCTTTACACAGCAGGCTACTTCATAAATCATGGTTCAAAAACCCAAGTAGTTAAAGACTAAGAAATATCATTATGGTGCAACCCATTGTACAGATTCTGCCTCAAATGCAGGGGTGTCAAACTCAAGGTCCATGGGCTGGATCCGGCCCGTGGGGTACTTAGATCTGGCCCATGAGGTCACCCTGGAAACAGCGAAGGATTGGCCCATGGTGCCTCTGCCAGCAAAAATGGACTTCAGGAGGGCCGTGTTTGGTCCTCCCATGCTCCATTTTCACTGGCAGAGGGTTGCAGGAAACTGTCTTGGGAGCCCATTTTCACTGGCAGAATGCTTGGGCCACCACAGGCGCCCATGACATGAGTGACATCGAGCTGGTCACACCCACCCCGGCCACACCCACCATGCCCCCCCCCGAGGTCCAGCACAACCCTGATGCGGCCCTCAATGAAATCGAGTTTGACACCCCTCCTCTAATGTCCCACCAGGAAGCCCAAAAGTGGGTCTTTAATTCTAAGAGAAGGCGGTGACTTTGTCAATTATTGGCAAGATAATTGGCAATTTTACATGGAAAAAAACAGATGCCTAAAGCAAGTTTATACTTTGGACTGTCTCGTGGTTTGTTCAAATAGCACAGAATTCTGTATACCAGTAGTCCTTGACTTACAACAGTTCACTTAGTGTTCAAAGTTACAACAGCACTGAAAAAAGCAACATGGCTATTTTTCACACTTATGACCATTATAGCATCCCCATGATCACATGATTTACATTCAGATGCTTTTCAGCTGACTCACATTTATGACGGTTGCAGGGTCCTGGGGTCATGTGATTCCCCCTTTAGGGCCTTCTGACAAACAATAACTTGGTCCTCAACACCAATAAGACCAAGGAGCTTATAGTGGACTATAGAAGGAACAGATCAGACATCCAGCCCTTGCTTATCAATGGAGACCGGGTGGAGCAAGTGGCCAGCTTTAAGTTTCTGGGTGTTACCATAAAAGAGGACCTGACCTAGGGTGCTCACATTGCAGCACTGGTCAAAAGGGCCCAGCAGAGAAACAACAACTGAATGAAAAACTGCTGGTGACCTTCTACTGCTGCACCATAGAGAGTGTTTTAACTTACTGCATGGTTTGCCAATTGCTCCGTGGCAGATAGGACAGCACTCCAGAGGGTTAACGTCATTGCCCAGAAGATCATTGGTTGCCCTCTCCTCTCTTTGGAATAGCTTTATAGCTCCCGCTGCCTTAAGAACGTTCAAAACATTCTCAAAGATCCATCTCATTCTGGGCACCCCCTTTTTTGAACTATTACCATCTGGCAGACGGTACCGAATAATAAAAACAAGGACAAATAGGCTGAAAAACAGCTTCTATCCCCGGGCAGTAGCTCTTTTGAATTCTGCTGTATGGTGCAGTGCGGTGTCGGGGGTTTCCGGTTCAATGTGTGAAGGGTGAAGGATGTGTGTTTGTGTTTATTTTCATGGTCATGATGTGCACTGAAGATGGTGTCTGATTTCGTTATACGAGGTGCGATGACAATAAAGTAAACTAAACTGAACTAAAGTCAATGGGAAAACCAAATTCACTTAATAACCATGTTACTAATTCAACAACTGTAATGGTTCACTTAACAAATGTGACAAGAAAAGTCGTAAAATGGAGCAAAACTCACTTCACAAATTCTCACTTAACAAAATCAATTTTGGGCTCAATTGTGGTTGCATGTTAAGACCTACCTATATTAAGATCTTCAAATCAATGCAAACTACCTCTATCTTCCTGTAGGCCACTATCATTGCCCTATGCAATGTCAGAATTTCACACTATTTTATCCATAGCTTCAGACATTAGTTTCTCATTTTGAATCCCCTTTCCCCCTTATTTACTCTATCAATCATTCATTTTCTATTTATTTTGCGTAACCAGGGATCAAGGCAACTGGTTCAAGAACCTTGAGACCAGATCTACCCAAAAAATAAACATCCCTTTGAGATTATGGAACTGAATTTTTAGAGTCAGCTCAAAAGAGCTCCAATTTGGTGACTTAAGAGGATCAATCCATCGCATAGCCCAAATGAAATTGCTAGCCTGGGCTCTATTTATTGTAGCATGGACCAGTTCCTGCCGTGCCCTGATAGCCCCCGAAGCCTGTAATGATGCAAGAATAGAGAAGGATGCAGGGGTGGCCCTGAATTTAATCAATAAACATCGCAAAGAAGGCTACATTTTTGTCCTGTTCCGTGTTTTAATGCAAACAGGTGGATTGTTATTTGACTGCATCATGTGATCATTTCGGAAGTACTTCTCTGTCTTACTTAGGAGTTGTTTGGGGTCTTTTCGAAATGGCACTTTTAAAAAACTTTTTTAAAAAAAAATTGGTTGAGCTCATAAACTTAATTGGGCTTAATTTTGAAATGTGGTTAATTTTAAAGTACAAATATAAACATATGCTCTGTGAAGGTGAAGAATCTAGAATCTCTTCTTTTCCACCCATTTATGAGGGGGGGGGGGAAACAATACAGGTAGTCTTTGACTTACAACCGGTTGTTTAGTAACTGGTCAATGTTACAACAGACACCCCTCCTCCCAAAATCTACTGAAGATGGTGTTTGATTTCGTTGTACGAGGTGCAATGACAATAAAGTAAAGTTAAAAAAAAAGTAAAAAGTACTTATAACCAGGTTTTAAAGTTAAGGCCACTGCAGTTCCACTGCAGTTGTTTACCTTTACAACTGACCGTAGGTACACTGTAGTGGCACCTGCTCCATCTCCGCCATCCATTCTTCTGAGTCCCTGCGTGCCTTTGCCTGCTCCCAATCCAGCCACTCAGCCACCCAAGGGGAACTGAAGCCAGGCAGCAGAAGCTATCAGTCCAGGTGGTGGGTGGAGGCCTGCTTCCCACTTAGCCAACCCAAGGATTTGCAGGACTCGTCCTGTTCCTTCAGTTCATGGAGTCTGTGGGGCTTCCTTAAAAAGCCGGCTGCCTCTTACAGGATCGTGAAAAGAGTCCACGCTTGCAGAATAGCACCTGGTTGCCACGAGGAAGCCTCCGTTGGAAAGCTGAGCTTTGCATTGCATCGGCCTGAAGGAAGAGAAAATTGAGAGCAAGTTTGGTCACATTTTCAAGAGGATGTTGTCCCAGCCACTAGGGTCACAGTTTCAAGAAGATGCAATCCCAGAACAGAGGAACACAGTAGAAGTTAACTCAAAATATCTAGTGTCAAGTTCTGCAAAACTGGGGATAGCCTCAAGAGCACCCCTTTTGCCCCAGCAAGAGCTCATTAGCACCCTAAAAACACACACCTCAAACATTGTGGGATGTCATTAAACAAGTCTGCCTGCACATTTAGCAACTAACCAATTGCAACACTCTGCTTGTTTCCTGTGAAAAAACGACAAAAAGCCATGTATGATGCTGTTGGGGGCTCCTCCTCCTTGCTTGGAGGCAACCCCTTCGCTGTTGCGCATCAATAAAGGGATTTTGCTCAAGGAGTTTCTCGTGTCCAGTGGGACTTAATTAGACATTGTCTCTGGACAAAGGACCATGGTCCAATTACCTATGTTGACAGGCCTGACAGGCCAGGCACCTCTCTGTAAAAACAGAAAGGTCAATTGGATGCTGCTGAGTCTTGGAGCTGGCTGTGGAGTGGGTTGAGTCCTGCAAGTCCCTCGTGGGGACTGAGTGGGAAGCAGGCCTCCACCTGCACATTCTAGCAGCCCTCCATGCACCAGGAGCTTCTGCTGTTTGGTTTTAGGCTCCCTTGGGTGTTTGAGTGGCTGGGTGATGAGCAGACTGAGGCCTGTGGAGACTCCAAGAGACAGGAATTGGAGTCCGGGGTGCCTCAGAGACTGGGGCCAGGAGAATAGCAAAGACAAGCATTGCTTAGTTTGATAAACTATCATCTAGCTCACTTGTCCCCAACCCTTGTGGCTTGGCAGCCCAGCGGAGGGGGTTGTTAGGAATGATAGTCACTTAACAGTTGGGTTGGACATATATAAACCAGGATAGCTAATTTAATACTGTATCTTTAAGAGAATGTTCTAAGTGTGATTCGCTGAGGTTCCTCCAATGGCCATAAGATGCAGCCAGAAACCTGGTTTGTTCCCTTCTTGCATTTCCTGTTTTGCCCTATTAGCCTGATCGTCGTTCTACTTGGATTGCTGTGAGTTTTTGCAACTGTTAGCAAACTCCATTTACTGAACTTTGTTTATGCTACTTGACTTCATCTTTGGATTATCCCTGGACTGATACTAACTGCTTTAACTGTGTATGATTTGGACTGTTTGTTGGACTTTGTTTACCCGTTTACTGCAAGTAAAACCTACATTTTACTATTCAGTGTATCTGTATGCTGGTCGTGTGTTATTCAACATCACTCTCACTATGTTTCCCTGAGTGCACTCATTCTCCTAATGGGGAATACCTCAACAGGGGTGAAAGAGGAATTGGCCACACAAGCAGCAGGCCAGTGTTCATATGCACACAACTTGACTTGTGCGAGCAGCAGGCCTTGCACAAGTTGAGCTGCACACAGGGATGGGATTCTCCCAATTCGGACCAGTTCGATGAACCCCTTGTTCCACTGATCAGCTGGCTCCAAACCAGTTCACATGTGGGCCCGCCTGCCCGCCCCTGCTTTTTCTTATACTTTATTTCCTGGTTTTAGAGCACAGCTGATTCATGCGGCAGAGCAGTTTGCCGCACATCAGCTGTTTTCTTCACAGGAGCTGCAATAGAAGGAAAGTATAAGGCCTTTTTTAAATGGGGAGCATGCGCGCTCACGGAACCAGTTGTTACACCAGTTGAATCACACCCCAGCACAGGTGTGTTTACACCTGCTGGCCCACCACTCATGCAAGTTGAGGTGTGCACACCGGCCTTCTGCTTACATGGCCCAGTTGCAATTAGGCCATAGCCCCAGTAGTGGGCTGCAGCCCAGGGACGGGGAACCCCTGATCTAGCTATTCTACCCAGAAGCCATCTGAATACAATATTGCAAGTGTCGGAAAACCAACCCAGGAAAAAAGTCAGACATGCAGAAATCAATCCAAGTATAATTAGTTGTCCCTTTCTAAGGGTTAAAAAAAAAAATCCATCATCTAGAAACATTCCAAAGATTTAACCCCTGAAACAAGCTTCTCTACATGAACTGTGCAAGTCAAGAAAAAAACAATTAAAACCATTTGTTTATTTGATTTGGAATTGATGAAATCGGAACCAGTTACTGATTGGATATACAGTTCCTGTAGCGGTTCTTCATACGTTTTAGCCTCCAGTCCCCTAATCATCCTGGTTGCTCTTCTCTGCACTTTTTCTAAAGTCTCAACATCTTTTTTATAATGTGTTGAACAAAACAGGATGCAGTACTCTAGGTGTGTGGTCTTACTGAGGCTTTATAGAGTGGTATTAGTACCACACTTGATCTCGATTGTGTCCCCTCTGTTAATGCAACTTAGGTTTGCATTAGCTTTTTTGGTTGCTGTTGCACACTGCTGGCTCACATTTAGCTGGTTGTTGACTAAGACTCCAAGATCCCTCTCACAGTTACTGCTATTGAGCCTGGTCTCACCCAGTCTATATGTGTACTTTTAGTTTTTCTTGCCTAAGTGTAGGACTTTACTTTTCTCTACAACTGAATTTCATTTTGTTAGATATGGCCCAGTGTTCTAGTCTGTCAAGGTCCATTTGGATCTTGAGCCTATCTTCTTGGGTGTTAGCTCGTAAACTAGTTTGGGAGCCTGTTTTTGCTGACAGAGCACTTGGGCTACCCCAGGTACATGAGTGATGTTGAGCTGACCATACCCCCCTGGCCACGCCCCCTGCCCCCCCCCCAAAGTCAAACACAACCCTGATGTGGCCATCAATGAAATCAAGTTTGACACCCCTGTTATGCTATTTTTATGAATGGGACACATATCATGTTTAACCAATCTCTTAACTGTATTAAAGTCCTTTCATAGTGTCATTATTGTACTAGCAGTGTTGAGAAGGGGCATCTTTAGTCCTCTTTCCTCATCCATTATCTTATACCTGGGATTATTCTGATTTAATTCTGAACAGACCCAAAGGAATAGCCTGATTTTTCTAACACTTTCCTAGGTGAAAATTGTAATCAAAAAAATTACATCTCCCCTGCAGTCATCCTTAGATGCGAATGCCAAAGTGAACTATAATATTGGAAAAGTTAGATATAATTTGATCACCATTTTGTTTTGTTTTATGCAGGTGGCCGATCGTACGGTATTCATTGTTGAATTCACCATAAAAGAGACAAGATGCCCTAGAAACATCGATGCAACAAGTGTTTCCCAATGTGAATTCCTGCCTGATGGAAAAGCTGTGAGTTGAGATATATGCAAAAGTGGTTTGGTTAACAAACTGCAAGAAGAAAACAGGCAGTTGCGATATAGAGGTTTTCAAAATATATTATAGATCCTCAAATGTATCTCAGTAACAACAGAATAAAGACCAGTAGATTGGAGAGAAAAGCATTTAAACTTTGCTCAAACTATAGCTTCTAAAGGGGAGAATAGCAGATCTAGATACTAATTTAATAAGGAACCCCATAACTACTACAGTCCATTTTTACTGTTTTTCACCCACTAAAATTGTTGGAGTCAAGCCTTATAAATACGATGTATAAACAAAGGAAGGCTGGTATGATGAGTGTTAAGCCTGAATTCCCCAACGAGTGTTAAGGAAAACAAACTAAACAGAATGTGTAGTGTAGTCAGATAGGCAGACAGGTAAATGTGTGAGATAAGTTTGTATTTTAGTTAACACGCAGTAAAAAACAGATACGCTTGTGCTATCAAAATTATAGTTTATTCCATTAGGAATTATAGCATAGTCAAAATAAACAGTCCATTAGTCATGTATCATTTCAGTCAGTCCAGTCGGGGATACTCAATTTGCAAAATCCGTGTTGAATAGCCAATGTCAGTTCACTTACAATAAATTAGTCTGTATTATCTCTTCTCTCCGTTGAGAAATCAACACTCCTTTATCTCCTCCGTTCCAGTAAGGAAAAACACAGTCATCAATCCATCCAGTAATTAGGGATCATTAAGCCAGAGAGAGAGAGCTGCAATTGACTTGCTTCTTTTATGGTGCTTTACAACCACACCCTTAATTACATTCTTGTAGTTAAAGTTACACACACTTTAACCAACAAACCATGATAACTTATTTATTATTTTTTACCCAAACCAGTTAGGGTAAACAATGTTATCCCTAACAATGGGAATTGTAATTCAGCAATTTGGGGAGAACTGCAATTTCCCCATTCCTGCACAATCTTGGGCATACCAAGAGGCATTTTTTGGTGTGGCTTCCAAACTCCTAGAAAAATTGACATTTTATCAGATTTTTTTGACCAGCATAGAGGAAAAAATATTGCCTAGCCTTCTCAGGCTCAGAAGCTAAGCATAATCAAGACTGGTTAGTATTTTGATGGGAGATCTTAATTCCCGAGCTGAATTGGGAAACTGAAAAATAACGTAGTAGAAGAAAATGTCACACCCAATAACACACTGTTGTCATGTTATCAAGAAAACTGCTGCATATTTGTTTAGTCCCCAGGGCTCAACCTCCACTTGAGGGTGTCTTGATCTTAACTGTATTTAAGTAATTCAGTGCATTTTTGATCAGTGAAATTAGATTACACTTTCGTTCTGGCCCCTCTGACTTTCTATTCCATCACAGTTTCGTTACCTCAGTTTTAAATTGTGAGCTGAACTGAAAAGTGGCACAGCATGCCCTGTGGCAGCAATTCTCAAACCTTAGCAATGTTAAAATATGTGGACTTCAACTCCCAGAATTCCCCAATCAATCTTAAAGTGGCTAAGATTGAGAAACACTGTTCTACAGTAAAAGAAGATATCGCATACAATATGATGGAGTTAAATACATTTGAAAGGAATCTTATGCTTATTCCTTCCTCAGATTAAGTTTCTCTTGTTTGCCTTTCTTTTTTTTCTCCAGTTATAGCGCATTTCAAGCCAGTGGTGGGATTCAAATTGTTTTACTACCGGTTCTGTGGGTATGGCTTGGTTGGTGGGCGTGGCTTTGTGGGCGTGGCAGGGGAAGGATACTGCAAAAATCTCCGTTCCCTCCCCACCCCACTAACCTGCTTTCCAGCTCCGTTCTCCTGTGCAGGGCAACCAAAGGAGACCCAGCCAATCAGCTGGGATTTAGGTGGCAGAGAATAGATGGGGGCGGGGCCAGTCAGAGGTGGGATTTGCCAGTTCTCTGAACTATTCAAAATTTCCACTACCGTTTCTCCAGAACTGGTCAGAACCTGCTGAATACCACGACTGCTTCAAGCCCTAGGAAAAAATTGGAGTGGGAATGTGGGTCCTTTGGGAACAAGGAAAGGGGAAGGGAGGGAGAGGGGAAAGAGTAGGAGGGCACCAGTTACACAGAGATGAAGGGGAGGAAATTTGCAGAGGAAAATGCCTAATTACTATTATTAAGCTGTTGATATTTTTTTTATTTCTTAATGATGTAACAGATTTACAGACTATAAAACTGTAATGTGTGTTTTTGTACATGTTTGTGGATAGATCATGGATGGAGACAGAGAGAGAGAGATACCGTAGATAGATAGATACTGGTATAGACAGACAGACAGACAGATAGAGGAGAGGAGAGGAGAGAGAGAGAGAGAGAGAGACTTGTGTCAAATTTAGAAAATTCAATACTCTGTCAATTGTTACGATTTCCTTTTTCTCTGTAGAATCTGGGATTTTGCATAGGAAGAATAGTTAAAGAGACAGGAGCCCCAGATGTGGTCGAAGTAGACTCCTGTGTGATCTATGATACTCAGGTAAGAATGCAATGATTTAACTGCTAGGAGGGAAAACATATAGGCTTAAGTGCAATGGTAGCCATCAGCAGGAATATGAATCTGTTCTGTCCCAGCCTTCACAAGTAATGATAAGCCATTTACTCATGAGTAAAACAACCCCCCTTTTTATAACAGGGCAGTAACAGTCTTTTATTCACGGGGCTAAACAAAATATCAAACACAATTAGTCCCAACAAACTTGGGTTTAACCAAGGAATCTGAATTGCTTGCTGTGTACTAGAAACAAATCTGTAACAACTGGCCTCTCCCAAACTCCTCCTATTTATTTCCCAGCCAGGGAAGGGCTGGCTAGTGTCTGCATCTGTCTTTCCCCGAGAGCCGGCTTATTGCCTTCCGTTGCTCTCCTTTCCTCCCTATGCATACGTGCCTATGGGATGGGCCCCAACTGTTCCTCCCCCTCACTCAGCTCAGGCCCTGAAGACAGCTGTGTCTCCACCTGTGGGAGGACAGAAGGCCCCAGCTCTGCCTCTGTCTCTGATGCTGTTTCCTCATCAGCGCCTTCCAGTGGCCACAAAGCCAGCCCAGGCCCTCCCTCAACCCTCCTCCTTGTCAGACTCTGCTGCTAGCTCTGCTGGCAGCTGACAGGCCACAACACTGTCAACATCCAGCATGAGTATCAAAATAAAAGCCCAGGACCTTTTCGTTCCTGAAAAGCTTACTGTTTTTTGAATGCATTGCATAGTAATGTTGAGGCAAAACTAATTTTGAGGTTCTCAGGCACCAATTCATAGTATTAAACAATAATTTTCCCAGCCAACACCACCACCACCCGACTTCCACGTAGACCAAGTAAACAAGTTGTCTTTGTTATGGGAACCATCTGCCTCAACTTCACACCTGTTAAGACATCCTTGAAAAGTTTCCAGACTCTCATAAGCTTCAGTGGAGCTGTAGAAGTTTTGTTTCTCTAGCTAACCCATTCGTAATCAACACCTCCCACCCCCTTACTCTAATGGCAAATTAAACGAAGAGGCATGTATGTAGCTGCCAAATTTTCACTCTTGACAGAATCACAAAATGTAGAACCATCTCTGTCTCCTCTTCAAAGATCTTTCCAAAAAGGGGAGGAGTTTACAATTTACCTCACTTAGCAGCTATCTCGCTTAGCAAAGGAAATTTTGGGCTCAACTGTGGCTGTAATTCAAGGACTATCTACATCTGTATTTGAAGAGTGGTGAAATACCTCATAATCAGTGGCCCCGAGAGGATCATTCAGTTCAATCCCATATGGCAAACGTAAGAGTAAACAGACAATGTTTCTGAAGTACTTTCATATAATGTATATTTTATATTTATGTGTATTATTAAATATTATGCTGCGAACTCTGTTCAGGCACCAGGAATGACATCTAGCCAGTAAACGTTCAGCTCCAGTCAGTTGCCCCAACTCTACTCTGAATTAAGAGATTACAGGCTAGTAAAAAGGGACGGTTTTTAAATTCATATAGTATTTTGATTTATATATTTTGCATTTTTCTTGCAATACGTGTTACATACCATCACAAATACGCAGCAAATAAGAGTCTTAAACTGACTTGGCTTCTTTTTTTTTTCTCATTCTCATCTGTGTTCCATACATTCACAAATGGTGGCTTGTCCTTTGAACTTCCTTTGCAAAGAATCTCAGCATCTGCCATCACCATCACCACTTCCACCATGATTTGGGAGAAGGCCGTCATCACTGCAATGTAACTGGGCATGGATGTAGACATCCGCTACATAAACATCATCATTACTACCATCACCATTATCATCCTCACCATCATCATCCTCACCTGTTGTAATGACGAGGCAGTCGAGTTGTTTGATCATGAACAACTGAATCATGATGATCTTTATTGGAGTCTAGTCTTGCATTTACCGTATATGCCGGCGTATAAGACGACCCGGCGTATAAGACGACCCCCCAACATTTCCACTCAAAATATAGTTTGTTATATACTCGCCCCCTCTTCCGCACGCCTTCCACTTTTGCACTTTTTTTTTTTGAGGCACTTTTGTGCACCGTGGAAACGAATCCCGTGAAGCCGAAAGGAGCAGCCAGCCTTCTCCCAGCTCCCAAGGAAACGAGGCTCGCACCGCCCGGGCTCCACTGAGGTATCCGGCTGGGGCTGTCAGGAGTTGTTACCACTGGCGCGGCTCCGCGCGGCTCCAGTCCCGCGTTGCCTCGGGAAGGGAAAGGCAAAAAGGAAGAGCCGCGGCGGCGCTTTGCAATGGCAGCAGCGGCTCCTGGTTTTGCCTTTCCCTTCCCGAGGCAACGCGGGACTGGAGCCGCGCGGAGCCGCGCCAGCGGTAACAACTTTTGACAGCCCCAGCCGGATACCTCAGCGGAGCTCGGGCGGTGCGAGCCTCGTTTCCTTGGGAGCTGGGAGAAGGCTGGCTGCTCCTTTCGGCTTCACGGGATTCGTTTCCACGGTGCGCAAAAGTGCCTCAGCCGCGGGCAGCCGCAGTGCTTCCCAATTACTATTTGCCGGCGTATAAGACGACCCAGCATATAAGACGACCCCCCCAATTGGAGGCATGTTTTTCAGGGCAAAAAAGTCATCTTATACGCTGGCAAATACGGTATACACATTTTTAGTTATCCTCAATCACTGGTTAACTTTGGTTACTGCTTAACTTTGGTTACTGTTTAGCACAGTAATCCATACAATTAATTATCTCTAGTTAAAGTCTAACATATGTTTACTTCCTCTCTCTAATCCTCCTTTAGATTAGTGACTTTGTTTACCTGAGTTGTATTTGCTTGGAAACATCCTTTATCTGAGGTTTGCCATCCAAGATTGGAACATTCCTGCAATTACAACTCTACACTCACCATCATCATCATCATCCTCACCACAATCATTCTCACCATCATGGACACCTCCACGAGTATAGAGATCCACAAATTCTTGGTCCTGGGGTCCCAGGGGAAACCATAAGTCTGAACAGACCCAAGAGGAACATCCTGGCATTCCCCCTCCCCCAGGACCTCAATACCCTCCTCCTCCTCCTCCTCCCGGGGGTCCCCATCATTTTCCTCCTAGTAAATATCCACCACCACCTCCTGGGCCTCCACCTCCCCGACCTTTTCCTCATTGGCCAGATGATCACCACCGACGGCCTTATTGGAGGTTTCCTAAATTTGACCATGGCTGCCACCACCATCATCACAGGTGTAATGACACTGTGTGTAAAAGAGAAGAAAGCAGATCCTCAGAAGAACAGGATTCATTCAGCCACCATCTTTCTTTCCATCGTAGCAGTGCGGACTTTGTCCATCGTGTTCCAATTTTGAGTGAACACGATGTCCTCCAAGCTCCTGATGCCAACTTTCTTGACCATCCTTTGCCTGACCAAGGAAGACATGGATCGAAGTCATGCCCAGGCAAGCCCAAATATGACCTCTTCCCAGGCCTTTTGTCTTTATTTCCTACATCATCAGCACGTTAAAAAGCTTTTCATGGAAATAATAATAATATCTGCATTTGTATGTGTTGGTTTGAATTTAAACTTGCCATAAATTGTAACCACGAGAGATAAATATCTTATATGGAGAGCATAGTTTATATATAGAATAGAATAACAAAGTTGGAAGGGACCTTGGAGGTCTTCTAGTCCAACCCCCTGCTTAGGCAGGAAATCCTATACAATTTCAGACAAATGGTTGTCCAACATCTTTTTAAAAACTTCCAGTGTTGGGGCATTCACAACTTCTGGAGGGCAAGTTGTTCCACTGATTAATTGTTCTAACTGTCAGGAAATTTCTCCTTAGTTCTAGATTGTTTCTCTCCTTGATTAGTTTCTATCCTTTGCATCTTGTCCTACCCTCGGGTGCTTTGGAGAATAGCTCGACTCCCTCTTCTTCGTGGCAACCCCTGAAATATCAGAACAGTGCTATCATGTCACCCCTTTCACTTCTTTTCATCAAACTAGACATACCCAATTCCAGCAACCCTTCTTCATATGTTTTAGCCTCCAGTCCCCTAATCATCTTTGTTGCTCTTCTCTGCACTCTTTCTAGAGTCTCAACATCTTTTTTACTTATAATCTTAGAGTGATGGATGCATGATCTGGAAATCATTTGAAAAATATTTTTCAGATGTTGCATAATTACATGTGCAATAACAACCTCTGCCATTCTTTAAAGCGGCCTGGGTTTTTTTCCCCAGTCGTTCCATAAAAATCTGGAAGGAAGATCCTAATGTTTTATTCTAAGGAATAGATTGCATGCACCACACACAGGGAAAGAGGATTTCGTAGAAAGAATCTTCTTATGGAATGTCTGATTCTAAATACCTATTTTATTTAGCCCAGTGGTGTTCCGTTAGAACTATCAGATTTGGACAGAAAAAGTCCAAATGACTAGTATCTGGCAGCAAAAGAAATAAAGAAAAAAGGACAGGAAAAAGGAATTTCCCGAATCTCTTTGCTGCCACCAAATGGTTATCTAGAGTTTTGTAAACCAGATTTTCTTTTATAGCCAGATTGAGTTGAAGTGAGAGGTGACACCCATTGCAAATTGCTGAAGTTGAAAAATATCCTACTTTTCCTCAGGCCAAGCTTTTATCAACTGTAAACAATCCAGAGGTTTCAAACTGTGGGCAAATGACAAAGGCCAATGTTAACTCTGTAAAAAGTGTCAACAGAGATTGTATTTCCACAACACATTTACTCAGTGGCATATGCATAAGATATTGAGTTAGTGTCAGCCTTGAGTAGCATACTATGCAGGTACAACTTACTTGGTTAGTTTATTGTTTAATGGGTAGCCTGAAAAATGTATTTTAAGGGTTTCCAAGCTGGCAAAAGGATTTTGAAATCAATAGCACAAGTCCTGATAGGAGCTATAGATGTGAAAGATGAGTAGGCCGAGCTGGAAGGTGGGTTTAAACACGTCATCATAGCACAGCCACAAAAGACCTATGTCCAGCCCACCCACCCCCATGAATTCCATTATCCTTATCTAGTGCCAATTTATTATTCCTTATCTAGTGCCAATTTAGCTTTGACCACTAGTTGACTAGATTCTTGTGTGGAGGAAGTGATAATAAATTTTTCTGCGCTTTGAACTCAGTGAGTGTTCCTGGTTTTTTGCGCCTGACAGTAAGCGAGCCAAAACAATCTGTACCTATATGTCATTCAGAAAGAGGGACTGTGATGCTTAAATGCAATCTGTCTTGATCTTGTCTTTATGTTATTGATTTGAAATTAATAAAAAACCACAAAGGGGTTATTTTAGCACAAACCACGACAGGTCCATGCAATCCACAGCCTCATGAGCCATTGCTCATAAAATTGCAAAACAACGATTTTTCAGACAATTGCACATAGGCCTGAATACAAAATGGAATATAGAGTTGGCTTCAACTGCAGATTACAAATGATTATGCTTATCCTTGTAAAAATAAACAATCTAAAAATGCATCCATTTGCATCTTACTCGGCATTAAACTGTTTTTCCCTTACTGTAAATTCAACATCTAGTCAGAAGTGATGGCTCCCTTTATGACTTGTGGACTTCAACTCCCAGAATTCCTGACTCAGGAATTCTGGGAGTTGAAGTCCACAAGTCATAAAAGGGGATACCCTGATTTAGCTATATTTATTCCAAATATAGTAGCACATTGAGAACCATTTTCAATCCTTGGATCTACTGGACAAGTTTTTTCTATGGGTGGGATTTTAAAATGTTTATCCTACAAAAGTGCTAAGCGAAGGATGTTCTGTGTGGCTCTGAAAACTGCTTTTCCCAGGCTGACCAAGGTAAATATTGGGCAGGTTTCCAAGCAGACTCCTAGTTCTGTTGATTCAGCATTTGCATCACATTTTTACTCCCTGAATCATGCACATGCTTACTGTTGCGTTGTGGGAAAAGAGACTCGTGACCCAGTTGACTTTTTCCTTTTTATTTTCTTTCTAGTAATCGCATGCGGAGAAACCGTGGCAGCCTTTTTTTATAGCCGGCTGCTTGTGGCTCGTGGCCAATGACAGCTCTTCAAATCTCCCGCCACCATGGATAGGTTGTATCATAGGTAAGTATGCAAATATATAATACCCCTCCCCATGTGGTCCAGTCTAACCAATCCGGGCCTCACCTATCTTACGTAGTCACGTAAGTAGATGGAGCACTTATGGTTCTGACTGGACCTGCGCAATTCAGTCATGAGTTCGCCTCTGGAGGACGGGTTTGCTTTTTTTCCCGTTCTTTTCCGTGGAACCTCCTGGAAGGTAGAGTCAGCCATGCCGCTCCCGCCAGGCCTTTCCTGGCTGGTTGAGTCGGCTTGGCCGCTCCCACCAGGAGTGGCTTCCTGATAGTTCTTCGAAGTCTGCTCCAGCGTCCCCAAGTTGTTTTCTTCTTCTATAGTTTCAGGTACGTGTTTGCGATTTCCGATTGGGACTAATGTTAGTATTGGTTGTCGTGTCGTTGTTAGGGTTTGTTTTGTCACTTCTTTTACTTGTGGAGGGTCTCCACCTCCCCTTTTGTTTGTGTTTGAGGGGTCTCCCCCCTCTCTGGTTTGGCTATTTTTGTTTAATGTTTGCGGCAATTCCTTTATTTGTGCAGGTTCTCCCCCCTCCTCATCCTGATTGTTAGTGTTTCTCAGTGTGGTCCTCGATCTGATTTGGTCTATGTGTCTCCTCCAGCTCTTTCTGTCCTCTGTGTCTACCCTGTATGACCGGGGTCCTGTTATTTGGGTTATTGTTGCTGGTATCCACAATGGTTCCCCCGTGAGGTTTTTTGCATAGACTAGGTCCCCTGTTTTGAATATGCGGCACTTACTGGAGGAGTCTGCTGGCTTTTCTGGGCTATATGTGGGGTGTAGCCTGTCTAGGTTTGATCTTAGTTTCCTTCCCATTAATAATTCTGCTGGGCTTTTATTTGTTGTGGTGTTTGGTGTAATGTGTTGTATACTTAGTAGTTTGTCTATTTTTTCCTGTATGTCCCCCAGTCCCAATTTGTGTAGTGCTTCCTTAGTGTAATGGACTATGCGTTCCGCCTGTCCGTTCATAGCTGGACATCCCGGCGCTGTTAGTGCATGCCTTATTCCTTGTTCTGCCAGGAACCTTTCGAATGTTATTGCCGTGAATTGTGGTCTGTTGTTGGATACAACTAAATCCAGCAATCCGTGTGTCATAAAAAGTTTCCTTAGTTGTCTAATAACAGCTTCTGTTGTGGTTGAGTGCATGATGCTTACCTCTAGCCAATTTGAGTAAGCATCTACCACTATTAAGAATATGTGTCCTTTAGTTGGTCCTGCGAAATCAATGTGTATTCTAGACCATGGTCCCCTAGGTGTTTCCCATTCGTGTATAGGTGCAGAAGGGGGTGTAGGTCTAGATTCCTGGCATCGTTTGCAAGTTGCTACCCATTCTCCTATGTCTTTATCCATCCCTGGCCACCATACATAACTCCTAGCCAGGGACTTCATTCTGACAATACCCGGGTGACCCTCATGCAATAATTCAAGTATTCATTTCCTTAATATGTTTGGTATGACCACCCTATCCCCCCATAGTATACATCCCTTTAAGATTGATAGTTCCGTTTGTCTATTCCAAAATGGTTTAACAGTCTCGTCACTTGCAGTCTCTGGCCACCCTTTACCTACCCAATTTAAAATCCACGCCAGGTTTCTGTCTCTCATGGTTTCCATAGCAATGTCTGTTGCTGTTATGGGTAGGTTTGCCAACGTCTCGATTTGAAGGGTTGATGTGGTTGGTGCAGGATCATCGTCTAAATCAGGTAGGGGGGAACAGCTCAGGGCGTTAGCATGTGTTATGTTCTTTCCTGGTCGGTAGATCAAGTTGTAGTTATAGGCAGCTAGGAATTCAGACCACCTCGTCATCCGCAGTGACACTATGTTAGGTATAGCTTTGTTTCCTGCGAGGATTCCTAGGAGAGATTTATGGTCTGTGACAAGTGAAAAAGGTCTGCCATAGATATATTTGTGGAAATGTTTTATTCCTGTTATTGAGGCCAATGCCTCCCTATCTAGTTGGCTGTAATTCCGCTCCAGTTTAGATAGAGTTTTTGAATAGAATGCGATAGGTGCTTCTCTTCCATCTGGTAATACGTGGTTGAGTATGGCACCTAGGCCGAATGGTGATGCATCGCATGTTAATGTTATTGGAAGGGTCTCGCTGTATTGTATGAGCATGCAGTCTGATGTAAGTAAGTTTTTTATTTCCTGGAATGCTGTTTCTTCTTGTTGCCCCCAGGTCCAGGTAGCTTTCTTATCAAGCAACCTGTGCAGTGGTTCCACTATCGTTGCTTTCTGTGGTAAGGATACATTGTAAAAATTAATAAGTCCCAAGAAGGCTTGCAAGTCTGTTTTATTTTTGAGTCTGGGAGCTTCCTTTATTGCTCTGAATTTTGCTTTCAGTGGGGTGGATCCCTTCTTTGTCTATGAGGTATCCCAGGAATTTGACTTTGTCGATGGCTAATTGGCACT